AATAATGCAAAAAAAAAAAAAGGAACAGGTGAGTGGAATAAATGAAAAGATACCTGATGTGCTAAGAATGTAACTGATGCAAGTTTCGGGATGACCAAATTCGGGAAACGATTGACAAGTTGCCAAGCAATATTACGTAAAATAGTTCCACTTTCCAATGATTCCGGATCAATTTTAGTACAATAATGTATTGCTGCTAATTGTGGTTCATTTTCCAGCTATAAATTAAAATTTCAAATTTTCATTTTCATTACATTGCTATCATTAAATAATATTAATTCATCAATATTCATTAATTATCAACTCATTTAATGAGTCATCTAGTCTGAAATTAATGAATTAATTATTTAATAATATTTAATGTGACATTTTTTTTTTTTTTTTTTGCATAACCATGAACTTATCCATTCATATATTGGATAGTTTCAAAAAAAAAAAAAACCCAAATAACAAATTAATTTGTCCCATTACTCGTTTTTACCATCGTGAAATTAATTGACTAATTATTCACACACAGTTAGCCATTAGCTAAACCATTAATTATTAGCGAATTTAATTAATGTAATGATATCTCTTGCTTTCTTTTTTTTTTTTTTTTTTCCTAATGTCAAGTATTTTCATTGGGTAATTGATCTGATGATCAATAATGAAAAGACATGCAAATTTTATAAATTCTTTGGACATTTCAAACAATTTGGCAAGCTATTTTATCAGGTTTTATTGATTGATAGTACAGGTAGAAAATTTCCAATATTCATCAAATGAAACATAATATCATATCCGGTATTTTAGTAATTATTCCGGAAAAATGCAAAAAAAAAAACGAAGTTTTAGAAGATATCCCTTTGGATGATTGAAATGAAATTAGCAAATTTTGTTTTCATTTCAAAATTTAATAAATTTCATTAAATTATTTAAGGAAAAAAAGGATGAAATTTGAATTGAGTAAATGTTAATTAATCTTCCTTCCGCTCAACTTTTTTGTTTAAATTTCAAAAAAATTATATTATTATTTGAAATTTATACCATAATTACATCATCCTTACCCCTTTTGTCATCTCCTATTCTCACTCTACTTATTTCATTTATCATCTAATTAATTAGTGTTAATTATGGTAAATTCATTTTTTCTCATAAAACAAGATGATCAGTTCATCAATGTATGAACATTGAAGAGCTTTTTAGATGATTCAATTGACATGTTAAAATAAAGTAGTTTTTTTTTTTTTTTTTTAATTAAATTAAAGAGCACTTTAATTTTACCGCAATTTTTTTTTTTTTTCTGGAATTTATCTTTTTTTTTTCGAAATTTACAAAGTGAAGCAAATACGTCAGTTTTAACAAATTAAATGTGTTTTAATTAATTTAATTAATTAAATTAAATGCGCTTAATTTTAATTAAAAACTTAATTGACTTTTATGAAGAAAAAAAAAAGGGAAAATTCCTTGCGTTTCATTTGAAATGAGAAGAAGGTTGAAAAAGTAAGTTTACTTAACAAAATAAATAATTTGTTAGTGATATGTAGATTGATCGTTTTAAAAATTACTAATGAAAAAGTATAAAAGGATGATTTTCTTTTTTTTTTCAAAATTAAATTAAATTTAAGTTTCTTTCCTTCTATTCTTTTCATCTTTTTCCATCAAAAAATTTCCAAATTTAATTAATCAAAGAACATTTGTGAACATATAATTTTACTCTTTAAAATTGATCAAGTAATTCAAATTTCATTTAAAATTAAAATACCCTTTTTTATTTTGCTCTTTTTCTTTTCCTTTTTCTTTTAAATCTAGATTGACAAAATCAATAAAATTTCATTTATAAACCAGATAATTAAGTAAATTGGCAAGAAAGGACGAGAGAAAAAAAAAAGGAAAAGATGATATTTC